CATTAACTGCAACAATACGTCTACCGTGTGACTGCAGTTCAATTACTCACTATCTATCCACACACATTACCTCCTCCTCTTTTATATACCAGCGTACCCTATTTCTAGTAAGAACTTGAACATTCGCCAAAGTACATGATAGTTCTAGAAACGTTGCATCACGGTGGTCATGTGACTCGCTGACTCAACACTACATTAGTCTCCTATGCTTTTGCATTAAAGTTTACTTACAAATGCTCTTTGAACACTGTGTTGTATCAGTCTCCTATTTTTCGTCACAAGTATTACATAGAAATGTCCCTTAGAAACTGTACATGTGGCATGATAGTTCCTCTATTTTTTTTAAGACAAACAGTAGTTTGTAATTATAATTTGAGGATATCATATTAATGTGGTAAAACACTGAAACATTCAAGCTGTAACTTCTAGAGTTCTTGTATTTCTATATCACATAAACTTATTTCTCAGCCAAGTTGATGTATCTGGTTTGAACATAAAGCCTTCTTGAATGTAATCTTAAGTGATATTTTCATACACCTCTGATTCAAAATTTGTAGTGGATAAATTAAGAGGAATGTGAAAACTCTACAGGTTAATGTGATTTTATCATGATGTTTTGTATTATTAAACTGAAGTTTTTTAAAGTTTGGAGTATCCACATTTTACTTATTAGTCCCATATCTTTTTAATAATTAATACTTAGTTATTTTCACTAGAATATGTAGGAGAATAAAGTCTGGCCTGATATACATTGTTCCTCAGATGTTTTAAGTTTTCTTTGTCACGTTACATAGACATGTTGCCATAAAAATTTCTATAGCTTGATAACAAAAACTCGTAACTAATACCAGGTTAATTTTCTACATCTTAAAACAAAAACTTACTTAGCAATACATACTGGTCATTGTACCAAGTCAGTCTTTGACACATTAACAACACAAAAATAACAAGTAATACAAATACTACCCAAGTGGTTTTGAAATGGTCACCAAAGATCCTTATGTGCTGCGAACTGTTAGCAACATTGGTAAACACCCACACTGCTTGTATTAGTCATGGACAATCAATCAACTGTTTAGTAAATTTTAGTCGATCAATAAATTGAGCTATTGCTCAACTTTGTCAAATAACTCAGTTGAGGCAAAGACATGCTTTATTTACTTAGTAAAAAATATCACTTGTTTATTTATCGTGTAAACAGTTAACCAATTGCCCATCACTAGCCTACACCTCAGCTTTGTGTAAATCTTTACTATACTTTCACCATAGCTTAGGTAAGTTACGTATGCCGTGTTTTTGCACTGTACTTAACTGAAGAAAATAAAACTATTGTTTTTCTTTTTCTACACGACATCAAGTCAGATGATGCAAATAATTTTTTTATTATATATGCTATTTTCTGTTAATACTGACATATCTATAGTATAAGATTTTTAGGGATTATGATAATAATATATAGATATAATGAAATTTGATGCCTTTTGAATACATTTGGCTTCATATTAAATAATTTTGGTCAATTTTATTGTAATATGTCACAGAACCCCTTTCAACAAATTTTGCACATTTTCTTGCTGAAAATCTAACTTTCCATTGTTTAATATTATTTTCAAGAAATCTTAACACCAGATATGGAAACTTTATGGTCATTTCAAGTTGGAAAAATAATAAAAGATGCCAAATTAAGACTTATTTTTAATGGAGAATAAACAATATTTGGTGAATGCCCTTGAAATACAATTACACAGTGAAAGCATTTACTACAAATTACTAGCTATCATATACATATATATCAACTATGTGTTTACCAGAGTATAATTTGGCCAACAAAGAGAACAGTGTGTTCACAAAACTAATTCTATCACTTATAGTTGCTACCTGCCTAAAAATCAATTTTAGATTAACATTTGTCCTTACTTTAATATAATTAATATAATAAAGTTTATTAAAACCATAAAATACTAACTCTCTGACACTGAGAGATAATACAGACACTAATAAACATCAGCATGGAAAAGTAATGCTACAGCTTTTGTTTTTTACTAATATTATGAAGTTTATTAAACTGTAAACTTAGATTATTATTAACATTTTCTCTACAATCGGGAAGATCCATCTTTTAATAAAGTTGCAAAACAACTTGGTTTACAGTTAACTGTTATTCATTACAGTCTGGTTCTCAATAAAATATTTCCAATAGTGTTTTTTTTTTAATGTCTCAGTTGTGAATATTAACACATACACTGTACCAGTTAGAAAATCTAAATAAATAGTCACATTTCAACTTGACAATAACAAAGTTTTAACTCATCAAATGTATTAGCCAACTGATAGCATAGCCAAATAAACACTGTGATTCACCAAGAGAATAGTATGCAATATCTTTATAGGAGCAGCAGAAAAACCAAATGGTGTCCCCTGTGCATCACAAAAAACAATACCAATTAAGTAAGTTGGTACAAATGATCGCTGAAAGTTATAAATTTTGTTGAACAGACTAAAAACTGGTTTACATTAACTTAATCAGCTCAGAAGTACAACTATCTGAATAGAAATTATAATCTAATTACCTTATCAGTATCTATTTGCAAAACTACAAAACTTATTAATAATAAAAATATTCTGTTAATAAACATGAAAGTAATTGAGTTCAAATATATCTACAGTGATTATACACATTATCTGTACAGAGAAATATCAGCTAAGCTTTCAGATGTTATGTCTAAACAAACACATCAACTTACATGGTTCACTTCTTGATACCTTGTCTAAATTCCTATTTTGGGCAAACGATGTAGGGGATGGTGACCGATGCCTTTTCCTACTTGTACTAAAAGATGAGTTTGTGGTTTTACTAAGGAGGAAACGTGATATGTACTGTACCATCAAATCCACTGGAAAGGGAGGTAGAAAAAACTTTTAGATATGAAACAAACATTTTTAGCATAAAACAGAATAATTATTAATTTACGAATATAAAAAGATTACTTTTGAACACCAGCAAGCATAATAAGAGGTAAAAAGATTTACATATAATAACACATTCCGATTTCTTTTATAATCTGAAATGCAAAAACACAAAAACTCAGTACAAGGTACATGTATTACAACATTGTATAAAAATACAAGATTTAGTAGCTACCACAGCTTTGTATCCATTACAAACTAATGTAAGAAACCATTATATACTCATGCCATTGTACTTATCATAAAAAAATGTGAAACTGAAACATGCTTCAATAATTACTATATCTCAATTATGCAAATGTCATGAAAACATAATCATTGTTACTACCATGAATCTGTGTCATCTTAGTCAGAACAAACCATACCACAGTATTTACCAGGAACCCCCACTACAACCATCATGATATATCTATTAATGTACCCAACATAAAAATATAACCTTGTATCGACCATAAACTTTTGTCACTCATACCATTGTAAACAACAATATTATCATGTAGCTGAACAAAACATGATTTTCATGCTATTTTCCTGATCAAGAATTCCAAGCATTATAACTATATTGAACTCATAGTGCTGCACTCACCACAAATTCTTCCCAGTGTACCCCTATACGCCCATGATAACTTATAATTTCTGCCTATGTAATTATAACGAACTCTTACTTCTCTGTCAACCATAATCCTCAACAAAACAATTTGTTTT